AGAAAGATGACTTTTTAAGTGCAACAAAGGGCTAGTCCTAAGAACTGTATCTATTTGGCATATTCAGTGCTCCTGGACAACTAACTACCTTTCAACTGGCTTCTTAACCAAAGGTATCTTTTCTTAGTGCCTTTTACTATCCAGATTTTTCTCCAGTGTTTGCTTAAGCCTTTATAGGTTTGTGGTAGTTTTAGAACTTTGCTCCTTTCCTAATCCAGGTGAAAGTTGTTTTTAAAATAACATTGGATTTCTTGGAGCATGATACCTACTAATTATGATAATTAATGAGAAACAGCAGCATGGCATTAAGAAATCTAGTGGCATTTTTTTTTTTTTTTTGTCTAGAGTGAGAAATTGTTTTAATATTTGAATTTTGATCCTAGAATATAAATTATTTTAGTGAGATCACTGAAGGTGTAACAACAAAATATCAGCTAAAGGTGGCACTGTACCTTTTCTAAATATCATGGGACATTTGAAAAAGCCCAATTCATTTTATTTGTTGAATTGATTATTGTGTATTAATGAAAATAAATAATTTCAGGGACTTATGCTATCTCTGGTTTAATAATATAAATGACTTTCATCTCATCTGAACATATATTATTTTTCATCTAATTGTGGTAGTTAAATTTGTATGTCAACTTGGCTAGGCCTGGTTGAGTGGCTAGGCAGCTGGTGGTAGTTATTCCCCATGATGAGACTGGCAATCAACTCCATGGTGGGATCCACCACAAGCAGCTGAGTAGCTGCCTTTGGGATGTGGTCTGCTTCCTGTATTTAAGGAGAAGCCTTGGGGATAGACTCTAGCTGATAGCATGGCTTGGACTCTGAATGTAGCTGTGTTGTTGTTCAACAGCCTGCCATGCTCTGCTGACCTTGGGACTTACAATGGACTTAAATTAATGGCCTGCATTAATTGACTCTACAGCAGTGAATTTGTTTTTTTTTTTTAAACCTATATCGCAGGGTAGTGTCCCTGTGGAACAATAAAAATTATCCACCAATCAGATCTTCACTTAAGAGCTCTCAATTGAATGGTAGAGAAAAAAGGACAAACATACATCACAGAAGACTTGATACAGTTAAGGTTGAAGTGATTTAATTTCCAGTCCTAACTGCAGAATATAACTATAACATGGCACCAGACAAAAAAAACAGGCGCTGTCAAGTTGATTCCATAACAACCCTAAGCTGTGATTTTTTTTACAAAAGCAGATTGCCAGGCCTTTCTCCTGCTCGGCTGGTGGGTTCCATCTACCTTTCAGTTCGTAGCTGAGCACTTAAGCTTTGTACCAATAGGGCTTCTTAACTTGGCACCAAAATCATTTAAGTAATTTGTAAGAAGATAAAATTCTATGGGTGAAAAATAAATCTTAGAGATTAGTATTTCTGTTTCTGCACTCTAAAGAGACAAATACAGAAATTAGGAGTACTTGGATCATGAAATCAATGAAAATTATTTGATAAAATATGGTTAGTGAGGAAGAAGGGATCATTTTATCTAAGGGCTTTTGCCTAACCTACTGGAACTACTTTACTTGTTGTAGGGTTGAGTGTCAGCCAGCTTACTCTCCATAGCTTTGACTCTGGTTAGGTAGGGTAAACCACATACTAAGGCAAAGAGAAAATGATAGCTAAGGTTGCTGATCGTGAGTTAATACAAAACATTTTACTTTTTCCCTAAGACACGTTCAGGATGAGTCATGCGAAACTCTAGCTTTGAACTTCAGTCTCTGAGAGGAAATACTTTGACTCAAAAGCTGAAATTCTTATGAGTAAAGTGTGAATGCTTTGATCATGTGTCTCAGGTAATTATGTGAAGTAGAAGAAACTGTTTTCAGAATTGGTGCTATGCTAAGAGATTTCAAGATACACCATATGTCTGATATGAAACAACCCAGAGTATGAGATGTTGTTGTTGTGTTGTTATGTACCGTCGAGTCGGACCCGACTCATAGTGACCCCTCCTTGGGTTTCCAAGGCAGTATCACTATGGAAGTAGATTGACCCATCTTCCTTCCGAGGAGTGGCTGGTGGGTTTGAACCGCCAGTCTTCTGATTAGCAGTCAAGTGCCTTAGGCACTATGCTACCAGAGCTCCCAAATATAAGATGGTCTTCCTTTTTTTCCAAAGATTAAAAATCACTATAACAGACTTTTCACTCAACTCATATCTTGAGAACCTACTATGTACCAGGAATTATGCTGAGTCCTTGGGATACAATAGTAAGAAAAAGAAAAAGACAAAGATTACCACTCTCCTAGCGCTTATATGCTAGTTTGCATCTTAAATAAATTATATAGGATGTTAAAGGTATAACTGCTATGGAGAACAAAAAAGCAGGGGAAATGCTGTAGTGTTGAGTATGTGTATAGGTGTGTCGGGGGCTGGTAAGGGGTTCAGGGGAGGAAGATTCTGCCTCACAAAATAATAGTTGCTGTCAGTTGATTCTGACTCACAGTAACCCTCTGAGTTACAGATTAGAACTGTGCACCATAAGATTTTCATGTTGCAGTGTTAACAAGAATCACATGGTCAGCCCTTTTCATCCGTAGCACCACTGTGTGGATTGAAACTGCCAAACTTTATGTTAGCATTTAATCATAAGTCATTTGTGCCACCAAAAACCATTGCCATTGAGTCGATTCTGACTCATAGCTCCCCTATTGTTGTTGTTATGTGCAGTTGAGTCGGCCCGACTCATAGCGACCCCTTCTTGGGTTTCCGAGGCAGTATCACTATGGAAGTAGATTGCCCCATCTTCCTTCCGAGTAGTGGCTGGTGGGTTTGAATCGCCATCCTTCTTGTTAGCAGTCAAGTGCCTTGGGCACTATGCTACCAGAGCTCCGATAGGTCAGGGTAAAAAAGCCCCATAGGGTTTCCAAGGTTGTAAATCTTTTTGGAAGCAGACTGCCACATCTTTCTCTTGTTGAGCATCTGGTGGGTTGGAACCACTAACTATTTTGGTTAGCAGCTGAGTGCTTAACCACTGTGACTCCAGGGCTCCTTCTGTGCCTCCTAGGGACCTTAAAGAAACATTTGAGTGTGGGTTTAAGTGGGGTGAAGGAAGGAGGCATGAAGACATGTAGAAAAGCCTGGTTTGTTCAAGGTGCAGCAAGGAGGCCAGTGTGACTGGAGTAGAGTGAGTGAGAGGGAGCTGAGAAGGAGATAAGGTCAGAGGAAATGAAGTGAAGATGAAAATCCAGGTATCTAAAGACCATAATGGAAAATGTGTACCCACAGTGCAAATTTAAACCGTGTATTATGTGTGGAACATGCATGCCTTGTAGAATGTTGTAAGGATCTTGATTTTTGCTCTTAATGAAATAGAAAGCTTTCGAAAGGTTTGCAGGTGAGTAATATGACTTAAAGGAATCCTGGTGGTGCAATGGTTATCCAAAAGTTTGGCGGTTAAAACCTACCCATGGCTCCAAGGGAGAAAGACCTGGTGATCTATTGCCATAAAGATTATAGTCAAGAAAACCCTATGGGACAGTTCTCATGTGTCACATGGGGTCACTATGAGTTGGAATAGAATTGAAGGCATCCAACAATAGCATGATTTAAGTTTAAAATGATCATTTTAGCTTTCAAGATTGAAAGGGGAAAGGGAAAACAGGAGGCTATTGTAATCTAGATAAGAGGTGATGAGTACTTTTTCATTTATATACCACATTTTGTTTTTCTGTTCACCTGTTTATGGCCATTTGGGTTATTTCCATTATTACTATTTTTTGGTGTTCTCCAGGACTGTGGTCCTGGAGGACTCATTCCCTCAAGGTGTTTGATTATGACAGAAGTTTTTATAACTTTGCCTTCTATATGCTTAACTGCATTTCATGGATATATATGCAGCACATATAAACACATAAGCACATATAAACACATAAGTAGAGGTGTCCTTTGTCAAACAATAATATATTCATGAGTGTAGTCCTAAAAGAAAGGCCAGACAATCCACTTCTGAAAAAATCAGCCCCTGAAAAGCTTATGGAGCACGGTTCTACTCTGACACACATGGATAGGGTCACCATGAGTTGAAATCAACTTGATGGCAACTGTTGTGTTGCTAGTATTGTGATTAAAGCTGCTCTGAACATTTGTGTACAAGCCTTTGTGGGAACATTTGTTTTTAGGTCTTTTAGATAAATACCTGGTAGTGGAATGTCTGAGCCATGAGATATGTTTATGTTTAACTTTTTAAGAAGCTACCAAAGAGTTTCCTAAAGTAGTTGTGCCGTTTTACATTCCCATCTACAATATATGAGAGAGTTCTAGTTGTTCCACAAGCCTGGCTGGTACTTGGTCTTTCTGATGTTAAACAAAACAAAACAAAACAAAACAAAACAAAACTCATTGCAGTTGAGTCAGATCCGACTCATTGCAACCCCTCCTTGAGTTTCCCAATGCGGTATCACTACGGAAGTAGATTGCCCAGTCTTCCTTCCAAGGAGTGGCTGGTGGGTTTGAAACATCAGCCTTCTGGTCAGCAGTCAAATGCCTTAGGCACTATACCACCAGAGCTCCCATTCTAAAAGCTGTATAGTAGCGTATCACTGTGGTTCTCATTAACATTTCCCTGATTGCTAATGATGTTGAGGGGTGTCTGGGTTTTAATCTCTATCCAGAAAGTATATATTATCATTATTTTTGGAACTTTGAATCCTTTGAGCTGAAGTTCATAATAGTGTTTAAAAATAATAGGAGGACATATTGTGGTTTATTAAAGAGTAGCATCAATGTCATGGTTTTTGATTTTGAGAAACTGATAAATTTAAAATTGGAAAGCATAATACTGCTATCATTGAATATCAGCTTTTCCTTCGAATCACTTTTGTCAGATAAGTATAATTTAAGTTTTATCTTGGGCTGGGAGTATTACAGTTTATATTTTATTTTTATTATTACGTTCTGTGTGATAGCGATAGGAACAGATTAACATGAATTCTTTCTGTATGTTCAACTAAAAGGGGATTTTTTTTATTCCCCCCTGCTAGGTCCCTGATGTCATTAGCAGCATAAGGCAGTTGTCTAAAGCTGCCATGAAAGAGGATGCCAAGCCAAACAAAGATAATGAGGATGCCTTTTACAACTCTCAGAAGTTTGAAGTCTTGTACTGTGGAAAGGTGACAGTCAACCACAAGAAGGCCCCATCAAGCCTCATTGATGACTGTATTGAAAAGTTCAGCCTGCATGAACAGCAGCGCCTCAAGAACCAGGGCGAGCAGCGCAGCACGGATCCCAGTGACGACCTGGTGGTCTTTGAGGCTGAGGTGCCCAGCTCACCCAAAGACCGCCTATTGGAGGAAATAGATGGAATTCCCAACGCCCGCTCTGGCTTACCAGCGGTGGCCAGCCAGCCTGTTCTGTCCAGCTCTCGAGTTTGCTTCCCTGAGCGGATCTTGGAAGATTCTGGCTTTGATGAACAGCAGGAGTTTCGGTCTCGATGCAGCAGTGTCACTGGAGTCATGCAAAGGAAAGTTCACGAGAACAGCCAGAAAGCACAGCCACGAAGGAGGCACGCCAGTGCGCCCAGTCACGTACAGCCCTCTGATTCAGAGAAGAACAGAACAATGCTCTTTCAGGTACTTGCCCTGGCAGGGGGCTATCGGGGAATATTATCATAAATTGCTAACAGAAGCAGCTGGGTGCCCAACTCCTCCCAGTTCCTCGTTTTGCTTAACTCAAGTGGCCATCTCTATATAACCAATAATCTCACTTTTATTTCTTTCATTATCAGAAGCAGATAAGGCAGCAGAGAAAGAGAACAAAGGGAAGTAGAGAAGTGGTTGAGGCAGACATGAAGTGGATAGTAAGAAACAATGGATCAGGACAGGGAGAGGATATAGATGCAGTTAAATGAGCGTCATGGGAAACATGGTGGAAGGAATAAGTTTACCTGCATTTTGCCTTATGTTGATTCTTAAATATATGTCTATATATATTTTTAAATAACTACAGAAAACCTACCTGTCAGGGGATTTAAAAATATTAATATGAGAGAATGATTAAGCATGGATAGGAAAGACAATTTCTTTTAAGAGAGAAAAAGAAATGAAAATCGAGAGACTCATAGGTATACTGCATTGATTTACCCTGTCAGACAAAAGGAGAGGTGAAAGAAACATTATCGGCCTGAAAATTTACTAGTTAATAAAATAATTTGGTATAAGCTGTATCATAGGTGTAAGAGAACACTGTTAATTCCAAAAAGTAATTTTTGAATGTCACATAACGTTTAGAAAAAAGTCAAGTTTTACTTGACTCTGTAACATTGACCTGTAGAGATTCTTTAATTAATCCTCAGCTTCTAAGACTTGAATTCTCTGCAACAAATGATTGTTCTTTTATCCTGTTTTAAAGAACCCCTAAGGAGGAAATTCCACAGCATACCTTGGTAAACAACAGTGCCACTGTGTAATATTTGCTTTATTGGAATTTACCATAAGTTCGGGCTGCCGTTTTTTGTTTTTTTTTTTAAACTTCAAGGCATCTAATTAAAGGATTTATATTCTTTTCTTTGGACATATTTAACTGATTTTCCTGCTTATCTGGGGTTTATCATATTTATCTTTTTTTCTTAGCTAGTCACAGTCCTTTGCTGTTAATTTTTCTGAATGATTGTTTATTTTTAAAAAACTTTTGACTAATTGGCCCAATTCCAAATCTATATTGATATATCTCTTTTGCTTTACCGTTTGGGAGAAAATATAACTATAAATTATAAATAAATAATTGGTATTTTTAGAAATCAAAAGGTAAAAAAAGTTTATTTGTTGAATAGACTACCTTCTACTCAGAAAAAAAGGTTTCTTGTATCTTGTAAATTAAAACTATCTTAATTTTCGTGACTTTTAGGCATAAGGGAAGAAATGATTGGAAGCAACTAGTATTTAAAGTTGAAATATTGGCTGGATTGAACGTTGGAACACCTGGAATAGATACAGACATATCTAGGATATGTCTATTTGAATCTCTATGATTATTTGAAATATAAAGTAACATATTGGGCCCTTGTCAATTTAAATTAATGGAAATGTTTTTATTTTTAAGGTTGGACGATTTGAGATTAACCTTATCAGTCCAGACACTAAATCGGTTGTGCTTGAAAAGAATTTTAAGGATATCTCCTCTTGCTCTCAGGTATGTATTGAAGTATATTAGAGTATATGAATCAACTAAATTTTGTTTCTAAATTAACTACAAAATAACTGTGCTAAAACTCATGCAAATTTGAGGTTTTCTTTCTTTCTTTCATTTTAAAAGAAGAGAACATGTCTTAAACTAAGAGGACTACTATGTTTGTGCCAGTTAAACAAACCCCTTCCTGGCCCTATGGTATCTACCATATTATTTGTCTTCATTTTCGTCAACTTTTTCTCTTTGTAGCATCACGTCCTCAGATTTTTGCCACTAATGAAATTTTTGTGGGGGTGAATTCTTTTGAAAATTCCCTCACACTTAGTGTTCCTCAGAATCTTGGGCAGTGGGACTTACGGGTGTAATTGAGTCACATTTGTTCATTATACCACAGTAGTTAGTCAAAGGAAAACTAATGTTTTCAATTTATACTAATGTCAGAGTTAACATTTTAAAAGGAAATTTTTCACTGATTGTTCTTTTTGCTATATTTTTGTTCTTTTGTTTGCTTTCTAATACATGACAGTATATATGAAAGTTTTTGTATAACAGATGTAGCTAATGATTATAATATTAGGCATAAACTAGTGTCCTAAGAACCATAGTAATTATTTAGAAAAATCTATGCAAAGGTTACTTCCATAAATGTATTCTAAAATAGGAATTTTTAGAGAAGTCAGAATTGAAGGAATATCTAAATCTCAATGTGGGAAGTTTAAAAAAATGCAAGGGTACTTCTGGGAAGGTCCTTGGACTTCTTTCTGAGTAGTGACTTAGACATATCTTCAAGGAAATGGATCTTGTCAAGGTCTCTTGTGTTTTAATATCAAAAAATTATTATTTTTTTTAATTTTAGACTTAACACTGCAACAGGGGTGACATGCAGACATCTTTCCCTTTGAAAATAGCATGAGAGATTTTGTACATATTGTTAATTATTGTCCTTAGCCTTAGCTAATGCAATTTCACTTATAATATTTTAATATATTTTATATTATATGAGATAGAAAATGTATAGATAAAAATTTTCTAGTCTAATAACTGTAGGGAGTGGCAGAATCAGAATACAGGAGGATTCTATTACACTTTCCTAAAGGATAGGAAACCTCTTCTTATTTAAAGGACCAATAAATTTGGCAGAAAGATTATTCACTTTAGTGGAACAAATATTGATTAAGCATTCTTATAACTGTTTACTGACGATCCCTGCAAGATTATAAGCTCTGTGAGGGCAGAGACAGTATGGTGGTATATTCTGTGAGGCATTAGAATAAGATGGGTGAAGACAGAGCTTAACATATAGATTGGTGTTCATTATATGCTGAATGAATGAGAAATTTCTACCTGTTAGGCTAGGCCGAGAGTAGTATACAAACTTGGTATGATTCCTGCCCTCCCAGATCACTCAGAATCCACACTTCTCACACGTCCCAATAAGAAAACTAGTAATATTTATTGAACATGCGAGAGAGAGAAGGCAAAAAACTGAAACCTAACTCACTGTCATTGAGTTGATTCCGACTTTACAGAGATCCTAGAGGACAGAGTAGAACTGCCCATAGGATTTCCAAGGTTGTAAAGCAAAGTGCCTCATCTTTTTCCCACAGAGTAGTTGGTGGGTTCCATCTGCCAACCTTTTGATGAGCAGCCAAGTGCTTAACCGCTGCACCAGCAGGGCTCCCTGAAAAAAGAACTAGCTAAAAAGATATATGAAATGGATAGTTCAGACATGATTTTTGCTTCTGTAGTTTTTGGTTTTTTTGATGGTAAGCTTTATGTTCAGTTCTTTGGATTCAGAAAAACAATGAAACAAAAGCATGACGAAAATTTTCAGAAGGTCGTCAATCCAGATAATTGTCAGGTTTATCATCTGTTCCTCACTGAATGTTTCTCCTCTTACTCCTTTCTCCTGTCTGCTTCATCCACTTTCTTTAGGACTGAACTGATGTGATGTGGCTGCCTGCAGGAGCAGGCATGCCTTTAAACATAATCACACCTCACAGACTAGTGTATACCTGTGCATGCACAAATGTACAGCTATAAATGTTTCTTTCTATAGAAGCTGTAGTACTGTTCATCTGGCAAACATGAGGAATATGAAAGTAATTTTCTTTACTAAAAACATGTTTGAAGAATTGCTCAGCTAATGATATCCTATGAATTTTTCTCTTTTAGTACTAAGCTAGTGAAAAACATTCTTTGATCATGAATGCATTATACCAGATTGAGATTATATTCACTTCCTGAGTTGTAATTCACTTTTCCTTATTGACATTTTCTTTCTGTTTACCATAGTTTGTTTCCTTTTTCTATATCCATTGGATAGATTGAGCTTTTTATAATAAGAGTAGTTCTCACCATTTATCAAATATACCAGGAACTGTTACAGATATTTCTCAGTTCTGAAAATCTCAAAAATTCCTGACAGTAGGCATCATTATTCTTATTTCATGATGAGAAATAGAGGCTCATCATAAAAAAATTATTAACAACCCAGCATAACATCTCACACCTAGTAGCTTAGTTGATTGTTTGAATACTTAAGCACAGATCTATCTGATTCCAAAGCCTCTTTTCCTTTCATTGGGGTTTGGGTGATTTCAGGACAACTTGAAATTTAATATCTGCCTGGCTTTTCAGAGTACTGTGCTTGCTATATAGGAGACCTGATGGCACAGTGGTTAAAGTGCTCAGCTACTAACCAAAAAGTGGGCGGCTCAAACTCACCTGCTGCTCCATGGGAGAAAGATGAGGTAGTCTACTTTCCATAAAGATTTGTAGCATTGGAAACCAAAGGTTCTACTCTGTCCTATGTTATTTTAATAGCAAGCAACAAACCCACTGTCAACAAGTTGATTCTGACTTGACTTGATGGCAGTGGGTTTGGTGCTTGCTATTAAAGTAGTAAGGTGCTTTCTACTAACTGGTATATATATATTCAGGCTGAATGAAAATCATGAATGATTCAGGGTTTCTTTTATTAAGTGTTACTGAGCTCATTTAGCCTGGGTTTAGGAAGTGTACTGAATGATTTGTGAATGTGGATAATTGACACTTGCAATCATTTCTTAATATGCTTATCTTCTAACAGGTGTGGCTCCTTGTAGTTTCTGTAAATACAAATAGTCTAGTATTTTTTAATGCATACTTTGAGCATTCCATGCTATTTAATATAAGAGCATTGTCAATGGTAGTTTCTCTCAGGTTCTTAGCCTCACATAGACAAAATCAGGCTATCCATTCTAAGAAGGCCAATAAGTTGAGGGCTTATTATTTCCAAAGACTAGAAGAGGTTTTATTACAAGATACAGCAGATCATGCTATCAATATATTTCCTCCTGTGGCCCTGAGTCACAGAGGGTTTATCAGAAACAAAACAATCTGAGTTGATCTCATTCTTTATTTCCTCTATTTATAAGCCACCATGTAGGTTTGCTATGATATTACGTCACCTATCAAAATGCTGCAAAGAAGAAATTTATGGAAGTGTGAATACATGGAACTGATGCTGATTTCATATTGCTGATTAAAGGAACATACTCATAAATACTGCAATTCTTCCCCTACCCTAGGGTATAAAGCATGTGGATCACTTTGGATTTATCTGCCGGGAATCTCCAGAGACTGGGCTGAGCCAGTATATTTGTTATGTGTTCCAGTGTGCAAGTGAGTCCCTGGTAAGTGGGGTTATTGCTGTGTACGTCTTCCTGCCAACACACCAGGCTAAGAGAAGACTCAGCTCTCAAGGGCCCAGTCCTTGTAAAACGGTTATCAGTGTGGAAAAAGAATGCAGCTGGAAATATTTTTTTTACCCTTTAAAACAGCACAATGGTAGAAATACAAAACTAAATAAAAACCATACTTTTTTTTAAGTGTAGATAGTTTATTATGTTTAAAAAATCCAGTCACGTTACCATAGTATTTTAAAAAGATAGGGAAAGATTAATAAGAAAATAAGCTGTTAATTTTTTCATTGCTCATTTAAGAAGGAAGGCCACTGACCTTTTATTCTGTTAATTCCTATAACATCTGAGAGATGAGGCTCTTCTCAGAAGAGTAGAAAGGGATCTGTGTTTCTTTTCCCTTTATTTTCCTTAGTTGTCAGAATTTTTTTGCTTTATTTTTTTCTAATCTTATTATAAGCTTCATTTTCTTTGTTTGAGATTTAAAAGTCAGTTCTTCTCTCTAATAGCCCACACTCCACCCTCTTTTATGGAGTTGGAGTTGAGAGGAAATTTGTAAGACAGATTTGGAAATACGTCTGAGTGACTGAAAGTAGGTTGATATTTTTTTTTCACTCCAAAGTCTTTACTTATTTTTTCCACTTGTCTGTCTCTGCTAACTATTTTAACACAAGCCTTTAGATGTGTACATCACCATTCTTTGAAGAAAAATACTTCCTTAGACATGTAATCCTCCCACAATCCTTTTTCCCAGGGAAATACATACAACTTAACCAGTTGCCATCAAGTTGACTCTGATTTATTGTCACCCTATGTATGTCAGAGTAGAACTTTGCTCCTTGGAGTTTTCAATGGGTAATGTAGAGAGCCAGGTCTTTCTTCCAAGGCACCTCTGCATACATTCAAACTGCCAGCCTTTTGGTTGGCAGGCAAATCACCCAAGGACTCCACGCATAACTTAGATATATACAAATAATCAAGACAGCATTCTTCTTGTTTTCATGCATGTTATAAAGACAGCATATTGTAGTCATCCCTGCTTCATTGCTGCCTTCCATTTTCCCAGTGTTAACAGAGTGAGGTGAAGAATAGTGAAGATGTGGGAGTGAATTGGTACAAAGACAATTTTTGACTAGTATTCTCTAAGTCTCAACTTTTTTTTTCTTGGGAATATAACATCACTAACAGTTTCTCACTTTAGAGAGTTATGTTTGAGTTTCATTATCCCACGAGATGAAAAACCATACCTATAAAATGTCTAAGGAGCTCTGGTGGCATAGTGCCTAAAGCATTTGACTGCTAACCAGAAGGCTGGCAGTTCAAACCCACCAGCCACTCCTCAGAAGGAAGATTGGGCAATCTACTTTCGTAGTGATACTGTCTCGGAAACCCAAGGAGGGGTCGCCAAGAGTCAGATTTGACTCGATGGCAGTGAGGTTGGTTTTGGTTTTTATAAAATGTTTAAGGAGCTCTAGTGGTACAGTGGTTAAGGGCTTCAGCTGCTAACCAAAATGTCAGTGTTTTGAATCCACCAGCTGCTCCATGGGAGAAAAATGAGGCAGTCTGCTTCTGTAAAGATTTATTTATAGCTTTGGAATCCCTACAGGGCAGTTCTACTCTGTCCTATAGGGTAGCTATGAGTTGGAATCAACTCGATGGCAGTGGATTTTTTTGGGTAAGAAATGTCCACATATTAATGTCCTGTGTAAAGGACCACAGCCTAATTGGTTCAATTCACAACTGGAGGGGGAAATTTGAGAATACTCTTTGTATAAATGATAGCTGAAGCCATAGGGGTTGGTGGTTTTTGCGGGGAAGGAAGAGAAAGAAAAAAGAAAATGCCGAAGAGAACTAATGCTAGAACGATGGAAACTACTAACCAGTTCACAGATAGAAAATAAAGAATTATCTAGGATAATGTGCCACCATGTCATCCCCTCCCATGTAACTTCTTCTCTACCCTTTCCTTCTTCCTATATAAGACCTGTTCTTTTATGTTCTTCATTCTACTAGATTCTACATTGTACTGTGTTCTGGATCCCTTACTGCCATATTATTGTTTTTGTTAAATGCTGTCAAGTTGGCTGAGACTCACAGTGACCCTGTATACAACAGAATGAAATACTGCCCAGTTTTGCAACAGCCTCACACATCTTTGCTACACTTGAGCCCATCATTGTAGCCACTGTACCAATCTATCTCGTTGAGGATCTTTCCCTTTTTCACTGACCCTCTACTTTACCAAGCATGATATCCTTCTCTGGGGTCTGATCTGTTCTGACAACATGACCAAAGTAGATGAGACAAGGTCTGGCCATTCTTGCTTCTAAGGGGCATTCCAACTGCACTTCTGCTAGGACACGTTTGTTCTTTCCTCAGCAGTCTGTGGTATTTTCACTATTTTTCACCAATAACATAATTCCGAGGCATCAGCTCTTCTTTGATCTTCTTTGTTCATTGTGCAGCTCTCACACACATATGAAGCAATTGAAAATACCATGGCTTCAGTCAGGCGTATCTCAGTCTTCAAAGTAGCATCTTTGCTCCTCAACACTTTAAAGATGACTTTTGCAACAGATTTGCCCAGTGCAATGCGTTGTCTGATTTCTTGACTGCTGCTTCCATTGATGTTGATTGTGGATCTACGTAAAATGAAATCCCTGACAACCTCATTCTTTTCTCCATTTATCATGAGGTTGCTTATTGGCCCCAATTTGAGGATTTTTGTTTTTATGTTGAGGTGTAATCCATACTGAAGACTGTAGTCTTTGATCTTCATCAGTAAGTGTGTCAAGTCACCTTTACTTTCAACAAGCAAGGTTGTTTCTATGCATATCACAGGCTTTAATGATTCTTCCTTTAATCCTATGCCACATTCATCTTTCTATAGTCCAGCTTCTTGGATTGTTTGCTCACTGAAGGAGCTCTGGTAGCATAGTGCCTAAGGCACTTGACTGCTAACCAGAAGGCTGGTGATTCAAATCTACCAGCCTCTCCTCGGAAGGAAGATGGGGCAATCTACTTCCGTAGTGATCCTGCCTCAGCAACCCAAGGAGGAGTCGCTATGAGTTGGGTCTGACTCGATGGTACATAACAACAACAATAACAACAATACAGATTGAATAAGTATGATTAAAGGACACAACCCTGACACATACCCTTCCTGATTTTAAACTATGCAGTATCCCCTTATTCTTACTCCCCTACCTTTCTAAAACTTACTCTTTAACCCATAATTTTTAGTTCTGTAGCAGCAGCCAGGGATCTAGGCAAGGGGAGGGAGAGACAGGCCCCACCTCCACCAGCTAGGAAAGTGGAGGAAGGAGAAGCCAGAGGTGATGACAGAACACAACAACAGCCAGGCATCCAGGCAAGGGGAGGAGGGGACACAGGCCCCACCCCCACCAACCAGGAAATGGGGGAAAGAGAAGCCAGGGGGGACGACAGAGCAGAGCACTGCCAGGGATCCAAGTAAGGTGAGGGTGGAGAGGTTTCAAACAGCTAAGTGAGACAAACTTGTCTGTTAGTTTGTTATACTATTGTGGTATGTTGCTATGAGGCTTGAGGCTGTGCCACTGGTGTTTCAGGATGCACATGGTGCACAGGTTTTAACACAGCTTACAGAGTGAGACAACTAAGAAGAAGGAAGAAGCCATCCACTTCTTGGAGAATTGGCCAGGGAAAACTTTATGAGTAGTAGAGAAACACTGTCTGATACATTACTACACAACTTTATTAATAGCCCGGAAACATTATCCGATACAGTGCAGGAGTATGAGCCTCTTAGGTCAGAAGGCTTTGAAAATATGACTAGGAAAGAGCTGCATCATTAGAATAGGACCAACCTTATTGATATGGATAGAGTAAAGCTTTTGGGACCTCTGTTTGCTGATGTGGCATGACTCAAATTGAGGAGAAACAGCTGCAAACATCCATTAATAATAGGAACATGGAATGTATGACGTATTAATCTAGGAGAATTGGAAGTTATCAAAACTGAGATGGAATGTATAAAGATTGACATCCTAGGCACTAGTAAGCTGAAATGGACTGTTTTTGGGCATTATGAATCAGACAAGCATATGCTCTACTGTGCTGGAAATGACAATTTAAAGAGGAATGGCGTGGCATTCATCATCACAAAGGATGTTTCAAGATCTGTCCTGAAGTATAATGCTGTCAGTGATAGGATAATATCCATACGCCTACAAGGAAGACTAGTTACTACGACTGCTATTCAAATTTATACACCAATC